AGAAGGAACGACGGGAGGCCGTGTTGACCGTCGTCGGGCTCCTGGGGGCGCCCTCGCTTGGCCCAGGAGCCGCCAAATAACGACTCTAATGTATACCGTCGGGGCGTTGACCTAAGGAACTCCAAATAAGGAACGAGGCCCCTTTCTCCCATAAGTTGAACTTCGATTTCCCATGGGAAACATCAGGAACACCGAAGGCAAACTGCAGAACAATCAAGGAACACCGGGCCCCTCCCCAACGAAAAGGGTTCCTTTTTCAGGGCCCCGACTGTATGCTCCAGTTTCCGAACAACGGGGGCACGCCAAAAAACATGGATCGGGGGAGATGCGGCCGGTGCCGCCTCGCTCGGCGGCGGAAATCCGCGATTTCCCACAGCAACGGGACCCGCCGCTAATCCACGCCCCCTTGATACATGTTTGCGATCGCCTGAGATAAAGCCACCCTGGAGGCCGAAAATACAGACAGGGCATCGAATAAGGAACCCTCAGATGAGGAATCCAGGGCCTGGAAGCCAGTGCGAACACCCATTGGTCCCTGGCCATGGATACCACCGCCGCCCTCATCAGGTAAGGAATCCCCCTGCACGTTTTCCCCTCGGGCCGTAGGGCACCCGAGAAGGAGATGGAGGAGGAGGAGGAGGAGGAGGAGGAGGAGGAGGAGGAGGAGGAGGAGGAGGAGGAGGAGGAGGAGGAGGAGGAGGAGGATGGGAGGGGGGGGAGGAGATGGAGGGGGCGGAGGAGGAGGAGGAGGAGGAGAGGAGGAAGAGGAGGAGGAGGAGGAGGAGGAGAGGAGGAGAGAGGAGGAGGAGGCGGTGAAGAGAGGGGAGGAGGAGAGAAGGAGGAGGAGGAGGACGAGGAAGAGGAGGGAGGAGGAGGAGGAGGAGGAGGAAGAGGAGGAGGAGGTAGGAGGATGAGGAGGAGGAGGAGGAGGAGGAGGAGGACGGGTCGCCTAAGCCCTTCGGAGAAACACTCCACCCCAGACCCCCTCGCGTCGTGGAGCAATATCAACGGGAGGTCATGTCATCATTTTCGGTCCCTAGACCATCGCGTTCCACGACTCGCAAAACAAGTACTCGCAAATGGATGGCCTCGATCCGCCGCGGAGGGTTCACGATATACTACATCGAGGCAAACCAATTTTATTCTGATGTTTGCGAGTAGGCACTTTGCGAGCAGCGGAGCGCGCTCGGTGAGTCTCTCGGGGCCCTTGCTGGGCCCCGGGACCATGAAAAAGGTCTCAGGATGAGAAACCGGTCCCGTGGAAGGGGTCAAGACCTCTGGGGGTCGACGTCATGAAGAAATCATGACGTCGGGGGTCTGGATAGCAAGCTCCACCTGCGGCCCCACTGCCAGGGTCCGCGTGGCGGCACCGCCCCCTGAGGCACTGCCTTCACGACGATCGTGGCCCCATCGCAAGCTTCGCCGACGGCCCCAGGGGCAGGGTCCACATGGCGGTGCCGCCAATGTCGCCACGCTCTTCGCGAGGATCGTGGCCCCCTGTAGGAGCTCCACAAACGGCCTCGGTGGGAGGGTCCGCACGGCGGAGCCGTCTATGTTGCTGCACCCTTCGCACACGTCGTGGCACCACCGGGAGCTCCACCCACGGCCCCAATGGCATGGTTCGCATGGCGGCGCTGTCCATTTCGGCACACCGTTCACGAGGATCGTGGCACATTCTTCTAAGCGTCTCCTGCAGCCCCAAAGGCATGGTCTGCATGGCGGCACTGCCCATTTCGGCACACACACCTCACAAGAATCGCTAGGGAGTGTCACCTACGGCATCCGTGGGAAGCTGTGCGTGCGTACTTCGCACAGCCCCAATTACAAAATCTGCATGATTCTCCCGCGGCATTCCGGCGTACCCCTCCCATGTGTCGGGTCCACAGAGCTCTATACATGGTTCTAGTGGGAGAATGTGCATGCCTTTTCCCTTCTATTCCGACGTATCTCGCACAACGGGGGCTGTGCACAGAGAGAGGCCCATCACCAACATGCCACACGAAGCTGCCAAGGGTCGGGTCTTTCGCCGAGCTGATTTGCATGGGGGCCCTGAGGCCTCCAGAGACCCGGGGACCTCTGAACGTGAGGGTGGGCCAGGGCCATGGGGCGAGGAAATCGTTACAGGCTGAACGACTTCTGCCGTCCTTCGACTCGCGCTGGAGCGGCCCCGAATTGCTCGAACTTTCCCTGGAGATCTCTGGATTTACCTGGATTTATCCCGATGTATCTCGATTTACCATGATTTACCACGATGTACCTCGATTGATCTACATTTACCTGGATTTATCTGGCTCGATCCCCACAAACGATCCCCACAAGCCCTTAAGGAGCACAGGCTCGCTGCAAACGCCTCCCGGAGGGAGGGGATGGCAGCCTACAGTAGCACCTGGCTAAATCCGCACCTGGGAATGACTGCACGGTTTCCACCGGGGCCGTAGGCGACCCGAGGAGGAGATGGAGGAGGAGGGAGGAGAGCGGAGGAGGGAGGAGGAGTAGGATGAGTAGGAGTAGGAGTAGGAGTAGGAGTAGGAGTAGGAGTAGAAGTAGGAGTAGGAGGAGTAGGAGGAGGAGGAGGAGTAAGAGGAGGAGGAGGAGGAGGAGGAGGAGGAGGAGGAGGAGGAGGAGGAGGAGGACGGGTCGCCTGAGCCCTTCCGAGGAACCCTCCACGAATGACTCCCTTCACGACCCCCAGAGGCTCTGGGGTGGGAACAGAACCTGCCAGCCCGCCTGCCCGCCCGCCTGCCCGCCCGCCTGCTTTGTCCTGCCGGCTCTGGCCTCCCGTGATCAACCGAGGAAAAAAAAAAACCCTTTGGGAGGGGACCTGAGTCAGGAGGGCCAAAAACATTAGGGAGAGGGGTTCTTTTCAGAAGGTGTGTCTGGCCAAACCGCCCAGATCGATTAGCCCCAGAGCGAAGACAGGGGCCTAAGTGAGGCCGCGTTTCCATCGTGGGCCAGGGGCTCTTCTTTCCCAACCATCCTGAGGTGTTGGGTCCTCGTTTTGAGGAGACGGTGCCCCGCGTCTCATCCTTTCCTCCGTCCTCCCTCCTCCCTGCGTTTCACCCACACAATACAACGTTTCGTGGCCCCAAGGGAAACTCCACCGAAGGCCCCAGTCCCACCGCCCGCACGCGTCACCCACACCCATTTCGGCACACCCCTCACACGTTTCGTGGCCCCATAGGGAGCTCCACCGAAGGCCCCAGTCCCACCGCCCGCATGCGTCACCTACACCCATGTCGGCACACCCCCCACACGTTTCGTGGCCCCATAGGGAGCTCCACCGAAGGCCCCAGTGCCACCGCCCGCATGCGTCACCCACACCCTTGTCGGCATACCCCTCACACGCTTCGTGGCCGCATAGGGAGCTACAACGAAGGCCCCAGTGCCACCGCCCGCATGCGTCACCCACGCACATTTTGGCACATCCTTACACGCTTCGTGGCCCCACAGGGAGCTCCACCGAAGGCCCCAGTGCCACCGCCCGCATGCGTCACCCACACCCTTGTCGGCATACCCCTCACACGTTTCGTGGCCCCATAGGGAGCTACAACGAAGGCCCCAGTCCCACCGCCCGCATGCGTCACCCACACACATTCTGGCACATCCTCACGCGCTTAGTGGCCCCCTAGGGAGCTCCAACGAAAGCCCCAGTTTCACCGCCCGCATGCGTCACCCAAACCAATTTCGTTACACCCCTCACACGTTTCGTGGCCCCATAGGGAGCTCCACAGAAGGCCCCGGTGCCACCGCCCGCATGCGTCACCCACGCACGTTCTGGCACACCCTCACGCGCTTCGTGGCCCCATAGTGAGCTCCACCGAAGGCGCCAGTGGCTGCCTTCGCATGCGTCCACCGCACCCATTTCGGCACACCCATCACGCGTTTCGCGCCCCGTAGGGGTCTCCACCGAAGGCCCAACTGGCTGCGTTCGCATGCGTAACCCGCACCCATGTCGGCACACCTCCCATGCGCTTCGTGGCGCCATAGGGAATTCCACCGACGGCCCAAGTGGCACACCCCTCACACGCTTCGTGGCCCTCTGGGAAGCTCCTGCGGCGCAGACAACGATGGTGCTCACAACTGTATATGCTTGGGTCCTTCGCCTCCCGATGATCCCGCCTGCACAGTTGTCGTCGTCTGCTCGCTCCTCGTCCCCAGCCTCCCTCTCCGCCGCCGCGCAACGCCCACTGCACGGAGCCGGCGGCGGGCCCTCCACCGGCGTGCACCCCCGGACGCTCCCAGAGCGCAGCGAAACCTGCCAGCCCTGGCGGGCGGATCAGGGCTCTCTCGGCTCGGGGCCGACGATCTTCGGGGGCGTCAGGGGCGGCAAGAACGTGGGCTCGGCGTCGCCTCCCGGTCTGCGGCCACTTCTGCTCCTAGCTTTCGCCTCCTCCTCCTCCTCCTCTTCTTCCTCTTCTTCCTCCTCCTCCTCCTCTTCCTCTTCTTTCTTCTCCTCCTCCTCCTCCTTCTCCTCCTCCTCCTCCTTTTCCACCTTTTCCTCCTCCTCCTCCTGGTCCTCCTCCTCCTCCTCCTCCTCTTCCTCCTCCTCCTCCTCCTCCTCGTCTCCCTTCCCCCCATCCGGCTTGTTGCTGCTCCTCCCCCCGTTCTCCCCTCTTTCTCCTCCGTCCTTCCTCCGTCCTTCCTCCTCCTTCTTCCTCCTCCTCCCGCATCTCCCTCACCCTGCTGCTGCTGCTCTCCCCGTCGTTCCGCATGCGGCTGCTGCTGATCCTCCTCCCCCATATGGCGGCAAGATGCTGGCATCGCCCCCGCTCCGCTGTCAGAGTCAGCGGCGGCCCCCCCACCCCCCGGTGCGTGCGTAGCCAAGGTGCAGATGCTGCCGCTGAGGGGTGAGAGCACGGAAGCGGAGAGGATGGGACGTCGGATGAAGGACAAAAAGGCGAGCGAATAAACACCGGGCCTCTGTGAGCCCAAGGTGGACGAGGCCGTGGCTGTATGGTTTTGTTGTATGTGTGTGGTGAGCCTTTGCGCGAGACAAGTCGTCAATGGCGTCGCGTAAGGAGGAGAAGGAGGAGGAGGAGGAGGAGGAGGAGGAGCAGGACGAGGACGAGGAGGAAGACCAGCGCGCATCAATGATGCTGCGATGAACCCTCCTCCCAAGCACCTTCCCCATAGGCCCTTGCAATAATTGTTCTTCACTGCTGGAAATGCCCCGATGCAGGACAACAGTCTAAGAATCAGCAACCTGCGCAAAACACCACTCCCTGATCTTCGACGCCGTGAATCAACTTGGCGGTTACGTCCCGACGATCCAGCATCAAGCAAGGAGACCATTCCTGCGACTGCAATTCCGCGAATACACATGTCCGTTTGCGCCCTGGAAGTGCTGTTCCGTGCCAGAACACCATTCGTGGGACGTCAACCAAAATTAACCCGTGGAACCGCTGGAAGCTTGTGAGATTGTGAAACGGTTGCGCGCGACGCATGTTGAACACGGACCACCCTCCAGATCCTTGGTGCTTGCGCGCGTTCAGGACGAATGCGCGCGGCACTGAGGCGAGAAACACATGTTGAAAACTACGCGCCCTCCGCTCGTAGAACCCGCGCAAACGTTTACAATGGATGTGCGCGGTGCTCAGGCAACAACAGAAAAAAAAACAGTTTGAAACCGAGCCGCCCTCCATCCGCGAGGCGCTTGCGAATTGTGATGACGGCGCTCGGGCGAGAGCCACAATGTTTGAAATCCACACGCCACCCTCCTCCCGTGAGACTCCCGCCAAGGTTTCGCCGCGAGCGTGCGCGGCGCCCGGCAGCGATGGCGCAGGTGTCAAATCCACGCGCCCTCCTCCCGTGAGACTCCTGCCAAGGCTTCACAGCGAGTGTGCGCAGCGCCTCACAGCGACAACGAAGGCCTGAAAGGCGGCCCGCCCTCCGCCCATCAAGCTGCTGCAGGATCTGAACCTGCGGAGCATAACTGGTGAGGACGTCTCCGGCGGAACGCCTGGCCCGTTCTGCCGACACGTCGCGGGGTGCGACAGGGAGGAATTATATTTTAACAAAGGGAAGAAGATGAACTGACCAAAAAGGAGCTGGAGGAGGCGGGGGGCGAGCAGGTCCTACGGCTACTGCTCCCTGCCGTTCCTCACTCTAGGCTGATACCCCCACGGCCGCTGCCTCTGATCCTGCTGCTGCTCCTCCTCATCCGTCACCCCTTCACTCATGCCGTTGCCCTTCCTTTTCGCCCTCGCCCTCCACACACACAACATATCTCTCTCCCTATCTCTTCTGCCGCCATGCATCCACCCTTCCCGCTTCTGATGTGCCGCTCCCTTTTCCTCCTCATCCTCCCCCTGTTCCGGCTTCTTCCCCCTGGTGCATGGAAGTGCGTGTATTATCCCTCTCTTTTGATTGTTGACTATTTGTTGTCTCTCTCTCTCTCTTTCTCTATTCCTCCCTCTCTCTCTCTCTCTCTTTTCTGTCTCTCTCTCTCTCTCTGTCTCTCTTTCTCCATATCTCTCATACATCTCTCCTTGGTTGCCCGATACACTCCGCCTTCAGCGCTTTCCCTCGCCCTTCTCCGCTCATCCTGCCCCCCTCCTTCATGCCCACACATCCTCTGGCTGTATTTTTTCTCCCCAGACTGGGCCTCCTCAGCCCTCATCCTTCCTTCCGCTCGCGTGAGGCGCGCCCCCCCGCCGCCCCCCATCGAGTCGCCCGCCTGGCCGGGCCGCCCAGAGTGAGCGCTTAGACCTTCCGCGGGTGGGCCACCTAGCGCCCAGCCCGCGGCAGCCCCTCCCCGCGGCCAGGGGGCGTGGTGGGTGGCGCCCGACGCGGACCCCGGGTGCCCGCCAGTCTCCTGGGCAGGGGGTCCCTGGCAGCCCCCCCGACGCCAGGCCGGACGAGTACAGCTCGAAAGGTCGCCTCTGGCAGCCCCGCTTTGGGCGGGTGGCTGCACGGTTGGCACTCTCGCCAGATCGGGGTGACAAGGCACGAGTAGCAACATCCCCACACGCGCCCGAGCCAGCCGCCGGAAGTCCCCGACGGCGCTCGGGGGAGTGGCCCGCAGCAGGGATAGCTTAATCACGTCCGTCGTCGTCGTCGTCCTCGTCCTCCTCCTCCTTCTCCTCCTCCTCCTCTTCTTCCTTCTCCCTCCTCCCACCTCACTCCTCCTCCTCCTCCTCCTCCTCATCCTCCGCCGCCTCCTCCTGAGAAGGATCGGCGACTCCGAAGGGAAAGTGTGGTTTGCAACCGGCCGCCGCCGCGCCTGTGTCTTCCGCTATGCGCCTCCGCCCTCAAGGGAAGAGGAAGAATCGGCGACTCCCAAGGATTTGGTGTGCAGATGGTGCGGCTGTCAACTGGCACCCTGAGGGGCACGCTCGGAAGCGGGCGGGGATCTCGATGGAGTTCTCCGCCGCGCCCCGAAGCCGCCTGACGAGGACAGCGTCGTGCCCCCAAGACCCCAACGGCACCGATCGCAATCCACAACCGTGGCCGCCGAAAGAAGAAGGGAAAGGATGAGGAAGGAGGCCGAATAGTACCGACTCACAAGGGAGACGGTTCGGAGCCCAGTGGTCAAGCCCGCCGTGGATAGGACGGAGGAGGAATGAGGAGAAGGAGGAGGAGGGGGAGGAGGGAGAGGAGGAGAGAGAGGGGGAGGGGGACGGGGACGGATGATGATGACGATGACGATGACGATGACGATGCTGATGATGCTGATGATGATGCTGCTGATGATGATTATGGTGATGATGGTGCTGATGATGATAGTGATGATAGGGATGCTGATGATGATGGTGATGATGATGATGCTGCTGATGATGATAATGATGGTGACGATGATGATGATGATGATGATGATGATGATGATGATGATGCTGATGTTGATGATGAACTTGATGGCTTGATGATGCTGATGATGGTGATGGTAATGCTGACACTGATGATGACGATGCTGGTGCTGATGGTGATGGTAATGATAATGATGATGATGCTGATGATGATGATGATGATGATGATCATGATCATGATCATGATGATGATGATGATGATGATGATGATGATGATGGTGATGAACTGATGATGGTGGTGATATGATAATCGATGATGATGAGGAGGACCAGGAGGGATGAGGAGGAGGGGAGTGGGGAGGAGGAGGGGAGTGGGAGGGGAGGGAAGAAGATGGGAGGAGAAGGCGGGGACGGAGGAGGACGAGGAGGAGGAAAAGGAGGAGGGAGGAGGACAGGAGGAGCAGGCGTAGGGTATGATGAGCAGGAGGATGGGGGAAGGAGGGGAGGGGGAGGAGGGAGGAGGAAGCGGAGGGGGAAAGGGAGAGGGGGAGGGGGACGGGGATGGGGAAATGATGGTGATGATGATGATGCTGCTGATGATGCTGACGTTGATGATGATGATGACGATGATGATGATGCTGATGATGATGCTGATGCTTATGCTGATGAAGAGGACGATGATGGGGATGATGATGATGATGATGAGGAGGAGGAGGAGGAGGAGGAGGAGGAGGATGACGAGGAGGAGGAGGAGGAGGAGGAGGAGGAGGAGGAGGAGGAGGAGGAGGAGGAGAGAGGGGAGAAGGAGGGGGAAGACGAGGAGAAGGAGGAGGAGGAGGAGAAGGAGGAGGAGGGGGAGGAGGAGGGGAACTAGAGCGAAGTGCCACAGCTACTGCCACTGCACACCCTTCGAGGTGCAACTGAGGGAGAGGGAGGAGGGAGAGGGAGAGCCCTCCCCTCCCGCCCGCCGCCGCCCCGGCGAAGCGACGACACCGCCGCGAAGCCCTGCATGGGGCTACATACGTAGGTACAGACAAGACGCGCAGACCCCCGACGACATACATGGTTCACGGCGTGGGCCCCCAAAAAGGTCTAGACTTAGGTCGGGCCTGTCCCCCTACAGAGGAATTTTGTAGGAAAAAACAAAAAATACAGCTAAAATGCTCAAAAGATGCCACAACATACTAAAAAAATTGTCACCAGATTATGTTTTGACTATTTTTGAATTTTCCCCCTGTAGAGGGACAGGCCCGACTTAAATCTAGACCACTTCCCCTGCCGTTTTTGAACGGCCCCGCGGCTCGGGCTACTACGACGACGACGACGACGACTCCTACTACTTCTCCGTCGACTACTACTACTACTACTACTGCTACTACTACTACTACTACTACTACTACTACTACTACGACTACTACTACTACTACTACTACTACGGCGACTACTACTACTACGAATACTACTACTACTACTACTACTACTACTACTACGACTACGACTACGACTACTACTACTACTACTACTACTACTACTTCGAATACTACTACGACGACTACTGATACAACTACGACTACGACTACGACAACTGCGATTGCTAATCCTATTCCTGCTA